CCGAGCAGGACAAGGCCATCCTGGTGAGAGCGCGGCCGCGCCGAGAGTCGGGGTTCGGCGGGCGGGGCGGCGGCGGGGAAACTGAGGCTCGGAGAGGCAGTGCTCAAGGTCACGCGGCGCCCCGGGGCTCCCCCGCCTGCCTGCTCGCCGCGGCTCGATCGCCCCGGGGCTGGCCTCCCCGTCCGGTCTCCGGTCACGGCGCTGCTGGGACGGGCGTCCCGGGCACCTCCCGGGGGGCGGGGGCCTGGAGAATGGGAGCTGGCCCCTGGGGAGCTGGAGCCTGGAGACAGGGCCTGCCGGCGGGAGGTGTGCCGGGACGGGGACGGGGAGGGAGACAGGGCTGGGGTGGGTGACCTCAGGGTTCCGGCTCCGGCCACCCGGTGGGTCTGAGTGTGCGGTGGTGGGAATCAACCCTACGGGGTAGCCCGCCAGGTCTTTCCCACGCCCGGCCCTCTGGGTGGGCTCCAACCTTGGGGTTAGCAGCCAGGCGCTCAATTGTCGGCGCCACCGGGGCTCCGTTCCACCAACCCACCGTTGCCGTCAGCCCTTCCCACTCGGCCACCTTGTAGGACAGGGTAGAGCTAGCTGCCCCATAGGGTGCCCACGGAGAGGGTCCTCTTTGCAGGGCCAGCGTGCCTCGCCCTTCTCCCGTAACAGGCCCCCTTTGGGACTGCACTGGTCCTATAGGAGCTGTGGACTCGGACTTGGGCCTGGGCAGGCGCCCACACTCGGTGTTCCCATTCCCCAAACTTGGCAGGACCGTTACCCCCTCAGGCAGAGGTCCCGCTCTCCTGGAATCATTTCCTCCAGGCCCTGGGAACACCCGAGTAGTCACTCTGGTTGCTGATCTTCAGTAGCATGAAGCTGGCCACGCTGCTGGAGGTGGGCGTGCTTGGGTGGGGGGCTTCACCCATCGTCCTCCCCGGGCTGTGAAGACACTAAATGGCCATGTGTTCATGTGTTTTGCTGTGTATCTTCTCAGCGAGAAACGGGGGTAGGGGTGGGCAGGGGTGGATCAAAAGCATCCCCTCCCCTAGGGGCCCAGGGGGGCCTTTGTTCACCGTGGACTTTTCAGTGCAAGTTGGGTGCAGTTTTCCATCCAACAGCTCAGAGAGTTCGTGCCATCTCTGACCCACCATCACCTGTCCTGCTTCCTCCCCGTGTGCCCCTAGTCCGCCCCTGCGCCTCTCCTGACACTTCTGAACCAGGTCCTGGGTCAGTGCAGCCCTTTGCACCTCAGTTGGTGTGATCTTGTAAGGTGTGCACACCTCCCTGGTGTCACCATCCCCCTTACACACCTGTTGTTTGGCCCGAGAGGGAACCAAGGGCCAAGTTCTGTTTCAGACCTGAAGGGGCCCCCAGGCTGGTCCTTTATGCGTGTGGTTTCTGCTCCACCTCTCACCCTCGCCGTCCCAGGACCTCGCATGGGACTCCCTTCAAAGCCGTTGGCAGGGGTGGCCAGGCACCAGCTCGTTCTTCTGGTCTCTGGTCCCCTGGGTTTCATTGTTTCTGCGTCTCTGATTCTCTTCGCTCCTGTGAATGCACATCCCCTGGCCGGGGCAGAGCCAGGTGACCCTTAGGTCTAAGCCTCTATACCCGCTCCCATTGCCCTTCCCTGCCCCCGCCGCCCCCTCCAGCAACTGAAGCAGCAGAGGGACAAGCTGCGGCAGTACCAGAAGAGGATCACCCAGCAGCTGGAGCGAGAGCGCGCCATCGCCAGACAGCTCCTGCGGGACGGCAAGAAAGAGTGAGCTGGGGAGGGGCAGGGGCTGGTAAGAGGAAGGGCTGTATGTGGGGGCTGCTCACCGACCTCTGGTCGCCCCTGCAGGCGGGCCAGGCTGCTGCTCAAGAAGAAGCGGTACCGGGAGCAGCTGCTGGACAAGACGGAGAACCAGATCACCAGCCTGGAGACCATGGTAGGCGGGCGGGCTGTGGTCTGCAGGCAGCACTTGCTGGCAGGGGCTTTCCGTGGCCATGGGGTGAGAGTCACCCAGGTGGCCGCAGCAACATTCAAGGCCCTGCTGAACGTCCTACCGGGAGCTTAGCCACCCTGTGTCCTCCAGTCTCCTGGACCCTCTCTTCCCTGCTGCCCCGCCTCCAGCAGTGGGGAGGGGAAGGGCGGAGCTGGGTGGAGCCTCATGCCCCTTGTCCCCCAGGTGCAGAGCATCGAGTTCACTCAGATTGAGATGAAGGTGATGGAAGGGCTGCAGTTTGGGAACGACTGTCTACACAAGATGCACCAGGTGGATCTGTGGGGCGGGCGGCGGGTGGCCCCTGCACTCCCACTCCCTGCTGCTGGGGTCATCCGAGGAGTCAGGGTGTTCCGGGGCCTGGCCTGAGCAGCTTCCTCCCGGCTGCCCAGGTGATGTCGCTGGAGGAGGTGGAGCGAATCCTGGACGAGACGCAGGATGCTGTGGAGTACCAGCGGGTAGGTGGGCCATGGTCGGGAGTGGGGGGACCCGATGCCACGTCTCCTGACCCTTGGAGTGGGCCCACACGCCCCTCACGGTGGCACTGTCTCTGCAGCAAATAGATGAGTTGCTGGCGGGCAGCTTCACGCAGGAGGACGAAGACGCCATCTTGGCAGAGCTGGATGCCATCACTCAGGTGGGGGCTCACTGGCACACGCCAGGCTGACCACCTAGGCCCCCTCCAGCCGGCCCTGCTGAGGGACTGACTTATGCTCAGGGCCTCCTGTGTCCCCTTGCCCCCATGTCCAGACTGCCCTCTGACCGTACACCGTCCATAGGTCTCCAGGGCCCCCTGTTCTGGTTGGCCACCTGCCCCCCAGGGCCCGGTGAGCTGGGGGATGCTGAAGAACAGGGGCACCGAGGAGCTCCTCCCCATGGCCACCCTCCCACACACAAACCCCGCCCCCGAGGGGCGTGGCAGATAGTCATGGTGGGCGGAACCTGTTGTGGGTGGAGCCTGCGACCGCGAAGGGCAGCTCTCAGTCTCCCTGTCTGATTCTCCCAGGAGCAGATAGAGCTGCCAGAGGTCCCCACAGAGCCCCTGCCGGACAAAAATCCAGGTGCGCCCGCCCTCGCATCTCCTCTCAGGTCTGGACACTCAAGGAACAGTGGGTAGAACCAGGTGCTTCTGGCCGGTGGGGAGACAGTGGGTACTCTTCCCACCTGGAGTAAGTGACTCACATAGAGGGGTATAACAGCTGGGGGGTCGGGGGTCTGGGAGGCCTGGGGGAGGTGGGCCCGCCCACAGAGGCAGGCCGAATGTCATCATAGCCTGGGTGACTAAGCCCCCAGGCAGGCCTGTCCATCGATGACCGTCCTGCCTCTCTGCCCCTTCTGCTTCATCTGGCCTCTTCCTCTTCCTCACAGGCCCAAGAGGGCCCCACCCCAGCTCCCCCTCAGCCCCTCCCAGGCAGACTCTAAGGGCTGCCACACTCTGCCTTCCACTCTGCAGCCGGCTCTCGGCCCAGCCCAAAGCTGGCAGTGACACCCACCAAGGGTCTCTGGGGATGACGGGCCTGGGGCCGCCTGTGGGGCCCTGCTGAGCCTGTGGCAGGTGGTCTGTCGGCTAGCTGCCTCCCCTTCTCCTCCCTCCACAGAAAAAGCCCCCGTCAAGACAAAGCCCAGGCCGGCAGAGCTGGTGGCAGCGTCGTAACTGCCCTGGCCACACCCTCAGGAGGCCCCAGGGACCGTGGCTGTCCAGACCTGGTGCGTGGCATGCCCCCGGCCCAGCTCCAGGCGGCAAGTGGGCAGAGCTGCCCTTGGCCTGTGGACAGAGATGCCCTGACTGGCACCCTCCCTCGGCATGAGCTCCGAGCACACACAGGCTGGGCCACTGCTCCTCATGTCCGGGTTCAATGGCCACATTCAAGCCCTTGGCCTCCTCGGCCAGGACGACCCCTGCTGGTCCTGTTAGCTGGTGGGGGCTCCAGTGGGGGTGCCTCCCATGGCCACACTTCCGGACCTGCTGCCAGTCCCCAAGCACATGAGGAGGGGGACTCAGGACACCAGCACCCACCAGATTCCACGTACCTGTCTGGGCAGCCCCCCCAGGCCCCTCGGGTGGTGGACCAGGAAGACACCTGCCTCATCACCTGCAAGAAGGGCCTGGTCTTGGAGGAGGACATCAGAGTGGCCCAGTGGGAGCACAGCTCTGTCCCAGCAAGCATGGCCTGGCTAGGGCCGTCAGCTGTGGGGCCCCCGGGCTGGACTCCCCACACCCTCCACCCCAGAG